AACAACAAAACCAACAGTAAAACGTAAATAATAAAAGAAAACACGCATGCAACGCGGCACATGTTCTCCGTGAGGAGTCGCAATTCCACACTCTTCGGCTCACAATACCGCCACAAATCCACACAAACCCAGAAGAAGCAGCCATTCCCAACACACACACGCACAGTGCTGTCAACAGTTAACTCTCGCAGTGTCAATTTCGCGTCGTAGAGCACGGCAAAGCAGTCGTCGGGACTCACACCGTTTCCGGAATACTGCGCGGTGAATTCTCGTAATTGGGGTTTTCGTGTCCAGAGGCATTGCGTTGAGTCAATCCGTCCGCATCACCCTCAGCAACAAATCCACTGCCTGCAACGCCATTTTCTGAAACGAGAGATTTGTGTCCAGTGGCGTTGTGCTCACTCACCTCGTCCGTGTTAACCGCAGCAACGTGTTCCCTGCCGCCATAAGTGACAGACATGATCCCGGAACCATTCGACGCCACTAATATTTTCAAACCATAGGCAAAGAAAAGCCTCTTCTTGGATGCATTCGGGACCATCATTTCGTTCGGATTGCTGGCAAACTCAGGCCTCGTCCTAGGCGTGCTGGTCACCGTGTTGGATGCGGGACTCCAATCGACGGTGTTGGGTACGTCAGCCGCCGCAGACTGTCGCCAATCCTCGTGTTGACGTGACGGCTCAGCATTAACTTGCGGCGCAGTTGTCCCGCCAGATTTTGTGTCATCCTTCCCTTCACGGGGCGGCGGCAACTGACAGATGCCCGTCTGGTCAGCATCGCCGCTCCGTGCAGGCGGATGGATGGTTCCATCGGGAGAAAATTGACGCCACCACAATTCATAAGGGCCGGCGTATTTATGTGACGGCACATTCATCGTGAAGGCAACGGTGGCCCCTTCCTCCTTCGTTGCACAGCTGGCAGCACAGTTGCTACATGTGTGCACCGCATCGGCCACATGGCACACAGCACCCAGCTCACCATTCCTGCCATGCATGCGCACATCAAAGCCACTGAAAGTATAATTCTCACACTGAGCCTCAGCACTGGCAACAGAACACTTCTTCCACTCCCACACACAAACACAGGCACGCGATACCTCAGGCTGCCGTCACTCGGAGCACACGACACATCCACCGGCACAACCATCGAATCCACATCACCAGATACATGTCCAGGACTCCCAGCCGCCGCCACACACACACGGAGCAAGCACCCACCACAACAGCCACACGCGACAGTGCACCCTCATCCATCCATGACGCGGCACCAAAATTTCCTGCCATCCCGCCCTCAATGAAACACGGAGCCCAACTCAACGCAGTCACACGCGGTGCACCACACCCGCAGGAAAGGGACTCGGGGTGCGCACTCCCTCTCCTCCCTTCTCCTCATGGCCACGGAAGAAGACAACAGCCGCCACACACAACTGCCAGCATGCACTGCAAAAGAAGCATTCAAACCCACTGCAATGTGCATCTTGTGTGTGTGCCTGCAGAAACACAAAGCAATGAAGTATAAAGAAAAAAAAAAAGAGCAACAAATGCAAAAGAACGCACAAAATAAAATGTACAGCGGAGTTGCACGGCTGAGACAACAAGAACGCCGCTCAAACTCATGACTGCACTGCAGCCCAAGCAGCGGCAATTCACACAAGATTTATTTAAAACAAAAAAAATTTTTTTTTGAAAAAAGTCGTCCTCTACTACGGCTACACCCAAATAATAAAAAAGAAAAAAAAAAAAAAAAAAAGCACACACACAAAAAAAGCACCCAACTACCGTGCTGCTCCAGAAATTGTCTGCATATTTTGTCCAAAAACAAAATTAAAAGATATTTAAGTGTCTTTCAACCGTCTGACCCTCCATGTGTCCGCACATCGTTTATATTTCATGGGGTCATCTGCGTGTTGCTGCTCCCCTCAGCCCTCTCATCGGCGTGTGAGTGCGGCCCGCAGAGCACAGTCACTCGTGTGTGTGTGGGGACTGAGAGAAGCACGCAGACATGACGGGAGTCGCGTCACTCCATCGGGAGAGTGAGCGCAGCAAAAGAAAAAAAATCATCGGATGGGAGAGAAATGCTGACGGAACTGCCAGCGCGTGAAATGCACACGCAAAGCAAAATAAAAGAAAAGAAAATCACGGCGGCAGGGTGTGGCTGTGTGTGTGTGGCGCTGCGGGTGTCTGCCCGCCCTGGCCGCAATAAAAACAAAACAAGAGGGAAAGAAATGTGTGCTCCGCCTCACAGGCCCTCGTCGCACGCCTACACGTCACGGCTCCCTCGGCGCGCCGTTCGTCGCGGCCCCTCCTCATGCGTGCAGCAGGCGAGGCGCACAGGGCCGTCGTCATGAGCGTGTCGGTGGGTGTGCGAGTGGAGCAGTTGGGCGGGAAACACACGGCACCCCTCACAGGAAGAGTGCAGAAGAAACAATTAAAAGAGGGAAGAGTAGAAAAGAAAAAACGTGTCCATAGTGACTGCCCCCAAAAGCAAAAAAGAGAAGAGATGGGGGAGTGAAAAGAAAAAAAAAAAAAAAAAGTAAAATCAACCAAAAAGAAGCAAAAAGAAAAATAAATTTAAAATACGCAAAAAAAAAGATTTATGAGTGAAATTTGTTCCCATGGGGAAGTAATTTTGTGCAGAGGTGTTCCACGCAGAGGCCACACACTCCTCAAGAAGCGGCAATCCCCCACAATCCAAGCAGAAGGAGCAGCGGCAGCAGTCCGCCTCCGCAAACAGTGCTGCCATCACCATGTGCCCCAAAGTGGCGAGCGGTCCCGACACCCGTTGCTCCTGCCGCCAATGTTTTCAGACCTGTCAGCTTTGGAATAGAAATTTTGTTTGCGTTGAGGACGCTGATCTCACTGTCATCCAACGGGCGGTTGTACAGCAGGACATTCGTCACGGTCACAGGCACGTCTTCTTTGCTCCCTGCGCTGCCTCCATCCCCTCCAATGTAGAAGTGGGAGATTCCTTTCGAATCCGTGCTTTTCAATTCACATGACGCATCTCCCACACGCTTACCATCGACGTACGCGGAGCCCTGTTTGCCGTTCCGTAGCACAATGGCCACTTGGTGTGTTGTCTCTGGCTCCCAATTACTGCGGAGTTCCTTGGTCGTTCCGCCACTGCACAGTACCTGCCACTTCCCCTCTTTGTCATACGACAGTCCCAGGAGCACAGGATTCTTATTGTCATTCATCGTCGCACCCATCAAATGAATGGGGGTATCTCCCTTCGGCTCACCGTGGACGGACACCGTCGCCACAAGAGTGAAGTTGTAGTTCGCAAAGTGGTACAGCTGGTTTTCCCCCTGCTTGCCAACGGGCCACTCCACCCACGCTCCCCGGAACGTCACACCATCCGCATACCCTGTTGCCACTCCATTCGTTCCTTTCTTTACTGTGGCATCCACCCCAAGGTACTCGTCCCTCCATGTGTTACCAGAGAAGTTTTTGGACAAAAAGCCAACCAGCCCAGTCGTGATCTTAACAGCGCTGCAGCCATTGCCAGTTGAGGGATCATTCGCAGGATTTTTAGAGGGGCACAGCTTGGAGACACGTTCGTCCACTTTCTTCCACGTCGCCAGCACATCCTTCACCCGCTTCAGCTGCGCAGTCAGACGCACAGACACCATACCGAGTGATTTCTCTTCATCGCCCTTCTTCTTCTCGTACAGTGCAATCAACTCATTATTACCTCCACTTTTGTACAACAGGGAGCTGGCGGCAACCTCATCGTCTCCTTCCACGGATACCGGCCCAATATCAACAATGTGCGTATTGTCCGTCAGCCAAAGATGGAGTCTGCCCTTTACATTTACTTCTTTATCAGCCTTATTGGCATACACCGGCAGAGTGACGAGCATCACATTCCTGTCCTCAATCTTCGCTGTAGTGAACCCGCTCCTAACGGCCTTCTCACTTCCGACCTTTTTGCTGCCCCACACGCGCGAGAGTGTCCCGAGCGCCTCCGTCCACTCCTCCCCCTTGTCAACGGACTCGTACACCCTGCGGCGGCCATCATCACACGCAGTCATCATCATGAGTTTTCCCTCCCTCCACTCCACGACGGAGGGATCGCTGCAGCCATCGGCAGACATCCCCTTCGACAGCTTCCCACTCTCAGTGGCTGAGGAGTATATCAGCGAAACGGCGTTTCCATCCTTCTTCGTGCCTTCCACGGGAAACACAAGCGTACCGTCCTTCATCTGAATACCCGATCCGCCGCCGCCAATCCGCCGTGTCAAGGACTCGTGTTCTTTTTCAGAATCAGTCCACGGGATAACGGAAGCGTCTTTCCAATAAATTTTTTTTTTGCCGCTGCTTCCATCATTACTGACGTTCCCCACAGCCACCAAAAGCTCCCATTTAGCTGCTGCAGCTGTGTTACCAGCAGCTGCCTTAACTTCAAAACTGTAGGTTCCAGCAAACATGTAAATATCACTCCCATTCACAACTGTTGTTGGCCGGCTGACACGTACTTTTGTCCGGCTTTGGGAAGCATCCTGAGCTCCTTTTGGGGAAGGACACTTCCCTGGTTCAAACTGACATTCCTCCAGTACTTGTGTCTTCAGTTTAGTTGTATCCAATTCGTTTGATTCTTTATCGGTCCACTCCAGGAGCTCCGAGGCAATCCCAGTAAAGAAATTGCTTCCTTCCTCCTTCAACTGCGCCTCGGCAACGGCAAACACGCCACCATCCATCTCAACAAGAACTGGAACACGTAACGAACTCACTGTTTCTCCTCCGTTCTTATCTCTCCAAAAAAAATATTTCTCCGGTGAAGATCCTGAAGCTGACGACGTGTCCTTACTGGATGCAGCTCCACCAGTGCCGCAGCACATCATCACGACGAGGAGGAACAGTACCGCGGAAGTAAACACACGCCGGGACATGTTGGGCCTCCGCTGCTCGCCCTCTCTTCCTTCCCTCCTCCTTCCGCTGGATCCGGTCACGCGGCGACGGTTGTGTGTGCGGGGTGCCTTCACTGCAGAAACACGTGAGAGCATAGAAATATGTGTGTGTGGGCGGTGTGTGTACTGTTGATCCTTTCAGTGCCTTCGAATTTCACGGTAGCGTTTAGCGCTTGGTCGTAAATTCCTCCTTTGTGCGAGTGAATGAAGTAAGAACAATATAGAGCAAAAAACAGGCTAATAAAAAGGGGTGAAAGAATAAGCACCGCCATCCATCCACAGTCAGTGGCACCATCATCCCCGCCGCAGTCACTCCCAACAACAACAACTCACGCACACAGACACACGGAAAGAGGAGGAAGAACAGTGCACCGGGAACACACTGCGACTGCCACCACCAGCAGCAGGAGTCACGGCGGGTGTGTCGTTATTCGTCACGCGTGTGCACACACCGAGCGACGCCCACACCCAGCAAAGCAACCAGCGGGAGGCAAACAAGCACAACGGCCCTTCGCAGCACCCGCGCGCTGCCGCCAGTCCTTTAATGCTTTTCCCTCCAACGCACCCGCTCGACCGCCACAGGCGCACATCATCCCGCATAACCGACGAATCCCACATCGGCCGATGAGCAGCAAAAGAGACACAGCAGCACGTGCAGCTGCTGCACAGGAGGCGATACGCACGTACCCCAGGCACCCTCAATGACACACCACCCAATCAATCCACACTTGCCCAAGGCACCCTCAACACCACTCACTGGCTGCATGCCGCCAACAACACACCCGCAACGCGTCGAAAAGACATACCGCGGGCCCACGTCCTCCCTCCTCGCAAGGGCCGCCGCAGCCAAAATATTGTGCATACGTGCGCTTTCAGCGTTCACGCGGCTCCAAAGCATGTACGACGTGGCGTGTGTTTGTGTGTGTCTGCGTGTGTGCGTATTTACATGTGCTTGTGTGTTTGTCAGCGCCTATACCTGTAGAGCAGCTGTGTGGCACAAGAGCGTCCAAAGAAAGCAACGGCAGAGAGAGGCAGATAGCACACACGCACTCCCACGGCGTCGGAACAGACGATGTTCTGGAAACCCAAATCGGCGGCTGTGGGAGTTTGGTGGTGCTGCAGTGGAGAAGTTTGGGGTGACGGACATTTTCTTGCCAACCCAAATTGAAAGTAAATCTGCTTTTTTCCCTTGTGGCTACCGTCGGAATCGTTGTCCGCGGGATCGGCATAGCCGGGCGGGAAAACTGGGCGATGAATGAGGAGGTTCTTCGTGAAGACACTCTCATCAGGGGCGGTTCCTATAACTTCTCCGCGAGGGCTTCGGTGGGCGCTGTTTGAGGACACTTTTATAACTCCAGCTGCTCGTGAGATCCGCCAGCAAAAATCGTTTTGCGACACCTTGTGGCACGGGTGGAACAAATGGCCGCGCCGCAGGAGGGAACTTGGCCCGTTACGGCCTTTGTCCTCCCGCTCGCGGGGCGTTCCATCGCCGTAAGGGCTTTTTCTTTCATTCTGCCTGGCCGCCGCGCTTCCCTCTTTTCCGCGTCTCCCCTCCTTGTTTCATTTCGCCGCGGCGCTTCTGCCCATGAGAGGCGCGGTGCCATCATGTCGGCCCCATTCCGTGTCAAACACCGCCCTCTCATAGGAGGACACGTGTGCTGCGCGTGTGCCCGGGCGGCGGGGACGTCTCGTCACCAGCCCACCACCTCCCAGAGACGCTGGTTGCAGGTGGCAATGCGATTGGGGCGGTCCAAATGCTTGGCATAAACTAAAATAAAAACGATGCTTTAGCGGTCTACTGTTGTTTTGCCTCAAATGAATGCAGAACAATAAAATCCAAGTTACACCAAAGGAGATTGAGAGAAATTCAGGGAAGACCCTTTGCAATTGTCAAGGCTTCAATGGACAAAAACAACATATTACTGCGCATGTTTTCTCTTTTTTTACTGGTGTGCCATTGCCATTTGGGATCGTTTCACTGCGTGAATAACTTCCAATAACACTTTGTGGCGTCTCGGCTTTTGTCTCTCTCTTCAAATAGACGACCCCTTCACTGTCATGAAAACACACGCTGACGGAACTTGACCGACCCACGAAACAGAGGGCAATGAGTCACATTTGTTGCGCATGCATCGCATAAGCAATAATGTCCACACGGAACGAGCACCGTTTCCTTGGGAGAAAAGCACACCACGCACCTCTCATGCTCATCCGTCTGTTTATCATCGTCACCATTTTCTAATCCATGACACAATCGCTGTGAGACTGCCGTCGCATGGCCTTTTGATGGTGAGCTGACGCCTTCTTCACCAAAACAAAGCGGAATTAAGCCTTCAGCTGACAGCAACTGGCCCAGCTTCTTGAAGACATCACAAAGTGAGGATGAAACTGGATGCCATGCTGCTAGCTCCGGCGTGTGACAACGTCCGGTGGCATCAACGTATTTGTGGTTGCCCGCTATCCTGCAGCCTCGTTCCGCGCTGAGGAAAAACACCAGAGGAAACTCAATGGGGTACAGGTGCGTCAGCCATATCTGCAAGGGCAAGACATAACGATGTGGTGGCGCCTGCTCACGGCTGTCTGGGGTTAAAGAAGTGTGGTCACTGTTGCTTTTCTTAATAGTAATAGGAAGCCCACCATAGATGCAAAGTTTTTCCTGTTGTGTCACTCCCCAAGTGGCGTCACGACAGTAGAAATGGAAGGTGTTACACAAATTCTCGACGTCATGAAGGATGCGGCCCAGAACTTCAGGCTTACAGTGTGGGGAACAACTAAAAAAGCGAGTAATAATTTCGTTCATGTTATGTTTGATTGTATGCTTTCCCCTAAAGGGTAGAAGGAAGCTTCTCAGGAAAGGGAGAATAAACCATGCAGTAATAATAAGGTTGTGAGGACTTCGTAGAAATAAAGTCACAGTATCTTCTTTTCCAGTTCGCATTCCCATTCGTAAACTAAATACAGAGCCTCCCTCTCTCTCTTTCTCCATATATATAGGACAAAGGAAATAGCGGGGTGCGATGGAAAAAAGATTTCATCACCCATATAGATATTCAATTACAGAAAAAGTCTCTCGCAGAAACCCGCATCTATGGGCAGGAGAAAAAAGATCGAAATTTACTCGGTGTGTGAAAAACGGCCTGAAATCAATTCAAAAGTTGTTTCTCCAGCGGACTCCATGTGCGTGTCGCCTCTCATCGGCTGCATCGGCAGACAACGTGGATCCGCGCCTTGAAAAAGCCATGCTTCTGGTAACGATTTATATAAGATCGGGAAAGAATAAATTTCCACACGCCCCTTCCTCAATTATGCGGCACGTGCAAGAAACCCAAGCTCGTATCGCCAAGACAACTTCCATAAAACAACCGCCCAAATCAGTCGAACGCAATGTAAATTTCCAGAATCGAGTGCTAAATAGGGGTCCATTGCATTTCTGTTGCTTGTTCATCGTGTTTTTTTTTTTTTTTTCCAAATAAATTCTATGACCCACAAGCCGGCCACCGTCTTCGAGCACGTCCGCCCTGCCGAGTGGAAACGTAAAAGGAGGTCCCGGCCCCGGAGAGGGCGTGAAACGCACACGACACGCCATGCCACCGAGCTAGCACGGTGGAACGATGATCCCCCGCTGCCGAGAAACAATGCAATAAGGAGCTACACAATTAAAGGACTCTTGTTGAGTTCAACAATGTCGCTTTTCATTTCCATATTTGTCGAAGAAAAAATTACACCCTCATGGTCATAAATTCTGAAGCAAAAGCGGATTTTACTCGAAATGATGGTGCCACTCTTTTTCAGGTGTTGGGCTAAGCATATCTTTTTCTACCTCCGGCATCCCGACAAAAGTATTTTGCCGTCAAGTTGAACATTTGTTCAGCAGAACCGCTGTTCTCCCAATAAGCGCATCGCACGGCGTGACGCCAGGTTGCGCAAACAGTTCTCCTTCCCAGCACTGCGCCCCATCGAGCAAAACAGCGCCTCACGATAATATAAATAAATAAATAATAGAAAATAAACGAGCAAACGCCGACGTCTCGCACGCACTAAAAGCTCCGACAACCAGGGAACAAACACCCCTTCAAAGGTGCTCGTATAGAAGCAAATGGCTATTAATCGCCTACCGCAGTTTGCTACAAGCCAAACGTCCCAGTGGCAGAACTAACAACCCACAACCCCTTATACAAAGCAATATTGGGCTGGGCTGCTGGCCGGATCCTGAAATGATCTAAAGAACTCAAACAAGACGGATGAAAAGAAAAGTTAAATGGAGAGGCCGTGGGCTCGCCACCTCCTCATTGTCTGCTCCAAGGATATATATTCGGATTGCCACTCTCATGACACGTTGTATTTTGTTAGTAATAGAAATATTATAACTCACGAAGTGGCAAACTTTGGACTCCTCCTGCCACAAGACCCCGCCGCTTCCCTTCGCCAAGTCCTGAAGTGTAAACACGCGACCACGAGATATACCGTCTGTAGGGTTTTCTGCTGACACCACGTGGGAAAAGGATGCCTGTATCCCGCAAGACTCCAAAAACTCATGTTTCCGTTGCGGCTCCCAAGTCAAGGCGTGTGATTTTGAGCTGCCTTTATTCGCCGCACCTTGTAGCAAAGTATTGTCACCAAAATGTCGATAGTGGACCGAGAAATGGGAAAGCAACCAAAAACAAGCTGCGCACAGAAAGTGCCTCGGCCTGCATGATAACAAAAAGACTTCCTCTTCCATTTCCCTCCATTAATATTAAAGTTACAGGAATTTGAGAGAACACAAACCTATTCGACCATGAATAGAAGAATCAGTCCTAACGGCACACGACACCTAAGCGTAATTGATGATACACTTACGATTGTCCTCAATAATCTGTCTTAACCCCTCACCGTCACCTCACTCCACGAGGCACACACATAATGTGCCCATTGTATATATTGCATGCACACCCATGCAGGCCCGTTGGTGCTCTCTTTTGCACGACACGCACCGCTGCCGTCCTGCCTGGCTGCATGGGCGGAGCACCGTAACTGTTTCTGTTTTGTTTTTATTGCATTGAGTGGGCGACCTCTCTCTCTCTCTCCCTGTGTGTGTGTTTTGCTTTGCGGGAGCA